GTCTTCTTCTCAATTGCTTCCTGGGACACGGATGTTCGCTTGTATTGGCAACCGCTACCTGTCCTATGCTGACGTACATCCAACCGAGGCATGACAACTATACAGTGACATTACTATGAATTCTCGAGCACGTGAAAAACAATACAAGGACACCTTAAAATCCTCTTTAGAATGCCGAGCATCAGGAGGCACACGATATCGCGACCCGATACCAACATATCCACACTGCCAACCGACATTCATAGCTTCTTCGGCAACCTCCGGATCAGTGACAAAGTCTAGAAGAAAAATCCACGTTCTACACTATAAAATAATATAGGTCGGTGGCACACAAAAGTTGGAATAAAACTGAAACTACAACTGAATAATAGCATGAACAGCCATCCCATTGACAGTAAATTCGTCCAGGGCTATCGCCCCTGGTTGTTCTGTGGATTCTCTGTAATTAGTGGACTTCCGTCAGCAGCCAATTGGTGTGATTGACGTAAATGTCGGGGGTGTTGCAGTAAGACGTGTAACTTGCACTAAATGAACCTAGCTAATAAGACCACTAGCCGCATACAAGGCTGCAAATCGAGGCTACAAATGCATGTCCCTTATAGCAATGCAACGCGATTCGAGCCCAGATTTGATTGGTTGGCACCGGCGTTGTGCTCATGTGACTTCCGTGTCCTACGGGCAAAGTGAGTGCGTGCATTATGATAAGTTGAGCGGTCGGTTCGATTAACCTATCAAATTGCCGGCATGGCACGGCAAGTTACGTAAGCAGTTTTTAGGTAGTATGAGTCATTTCCCTGTCGATCGTCTTAAGGTACGCACGCCGATTTTTCCTAACGTGGTCTCCCTCTTTGTCGCTCCTCCATATCTCACTGTTTTCAAAATCTCGTTGTAGAATGAGCAAACCTATGTCAGATCGCACATATCGACCTCATTTTCGCAAACGCGTCGATGAAAAGCTACGACAAGTTTAACGAGAAATTGAAGCAATGGTACTCGTCAGACACGTCTTCCTCATATAACTCGTATTCCGAGACGGATTCTTCATCTTCTTTTGAGTCGGAATCTACGGATACTTCAAAGTCTGAAGAGGTTGCGTCAAATTATTCACCAGAAGGCGAACAGACCTTACGTGAATTGTTGTACAACTGGGCAGTACGCTCGAGAACGCCCCATATTCACTTGAATGGCCTTCGGTAAATTCTCAAGCCGTTTCTTTTGCATCTGCCATCAGAAGCTCGGACACCACTGGGTGGAAGCAATGCTGCATCAGTGAAGGTATTGAGCGGAACGTTACCCACAGGGGGTCTCCACCCCGCCATGAATTACATGTTGAGCATCCTTTTCCTTCAAAAGCTGTGTCTTAGAAAATATTAAGGCAAAACTACGTCTCGGCGTAGTATGCCCCGGCGTGCACCAAGACGGCACAGCCGGCAGCGCTACCATGGCAGAGGAATAGAGAGAAATCAAAAACGCTGGATCATGCAATCGATCCAGCAAATTAGTGCACAAATTTCTGAGTTGCAGATGCAAATCACAGAACTGTATCAAGCCATTGACAGCTTGAGCACAACAGGAGTAGAAGCGGTCGTGCCTACGGGATCACCCTTTAAGAATTCAAATACAGCTTCCGAAATTGACGAACTAAATGTAGCTTTGGCTGACCTTAGCAATCATTGGCGTGTAGTAAAATACTTCCTTAAAGGTACATCTTTCCTGCAGATATGCTA